AATATTTTGATGATTAATGTATGTGTTATTGTGCACAATTTCAGATAAAGAAGGCCTTAAGAGGAGTGAAGGTGGAAGTTACGCACCGTGGTAACATGCGACGGAAGTATCGAATTGCTAGTTTAACATCTCAGGCAACTCGGGAGCTAACGTATGGCCATTCCTTGTTTCTTCATGCACTCCTATGTTTACATTTTTCCTCTCTGGATCATTTGTTCAGAGAAAAAAAAATCCTGGCATAATCCTTTTAGTTTCCTAAAAGAAGCTGATGTTATTTGCCGCAGTTTTCCTGTTGATCATGGTGGCGCAGTGAAGTCTGTTATACAATATTTTCAAGAGACCTATGGCTTTACCATCCAGCACACCTACCTGCCCTGTCTGCAGGTTGGCAATCAGCAGCACCCAAATTACCTTCCAATGGAGGTAAGCTTAGTGGCTATAGCTGCTCCTCTTGCTCTTTTCTAGCAAATCTCTACACACCGACTTGTCCCTGTCTAACCTTTGATAGCAAAACCTGTGTTTCTAATGTGTGCTTAAAAATCTGAGTTTATTCAGGTCTGCAAAATAGTGGAGAGACAGAGGTACTCTAAGAGATTAAACCAGAGTCAGATAAGAGCTCTTTTAGAGGAGACATGCCAGCGCCCACTTGATCGGGAGCGTGACATTGTTCAGGTAATATGTTTCTCCCCCTTGTTCTGGTTCTATTTGGGTTCTCCTTTCCTTCGTGACTTCATATGCTTATGCAAATGACAACCTTTTTTTTTGTGCCCACAGACGGTGAATCATAACTCTTACCATGAGGATCCTTATGCTAAAGAGTTTGGCATTAAGATCAGTGAGCGTTTGGCTTCAATTGAGGCACGGATTTTACCTGCTCCTCGGGTAGGTTGAAACCCACTCATATGTTTCTTTTAGCGAAAACAGCAGGGGAAGCCCCTGCTGGGTATATAGATAAAATATAGAGAAAAAGAACAATATAAAGGGCAAGAGGTCCAAGGTTGCTCCACTCTTATTGCAGCAGTGGCTTGTGAAATATTTTTTATTGTTCGTATCACCCTTCTGTGTCATAATTAATATAACTCCTGTTTTATAAATTGAGGCAACTTTTGTTTGTGGGTTTGATAACTAACATCAGTCATATTTCCTCGCAACATATTCAACATTTTATATTTTACTTATGATGCAGCTCAAGTATAATGAAACTGGCAGAGAGAAGGACTGCTTGCCTAGAGTTGGGCAGTGGAATATGATGAACAAGGTATTAAACATTTTCTGAATAGTATTTTGTAAAAAGGTTTATAACCAAATAGTTAAACATTTTGGCTATATCTATATGAGTAAATGGTATGCGTAAGTTGTTCTGTTCAGAAACATGAACATTTTTTAAGATGCCGTCCACTTGATCAATTTCTCTTCACAGTGCATATGACTAGAGTTTTGCTGGGCATTCATGTTCAGATAATTGTCTTTGCAGCTATTGATCCTTCAGTCAAAATTTGGGCTCTGTTAAAATATTGTTCAATCATTAAAACCACTGTATTGGTTCAATTGTGTTTTTACCTAACTATTAGAAGTAGCTTTATACTTTGCTAATATGACACCTATGTATGTACTACGCATCAAGATTTACCACTTATTTTCGTTTTGCCTTGTCTAGAAAATGGTAAACGGTGGTAGAGTGAGGAGCTGGATTTGTGTCAATTTTGCTCGAAATGTGCAAGAGAGCGTTGCTATTGGATTCTGTCGTGAACTTGCTCGCATGTGCCAAGCCTCGGGAATGGCAAGTATCCTTAAAACGATTTCTGAAATGATAAGGTTTGGTTGGGCTTTTGGCTTTGGCTTTTGGCCCCAAAAGCCAAAAGCCCAACCAAAGGGGCTGCTTTTGGAGGGTGCTTTTTCAGAAGCAGCTGCTTTTCCGTAGTTCATTTTTGAAAGCTGGGTTGACCCTGCTTTTGGCTTTTGGCTTTCTGCTTTTCGAATTTGGTGGAATAAAAAGCTCTTCCATAGTTGTTTCAAGAGAGATAAATATAAAAGGTATATTTTATACTTGTTTAACCAAACAGCTTTCAGCTTTTCTACAGCTCACAGCCCACAACAGCTTTTCCACAGCTCACAGCCCACAGCAGCTTTTTCCCACAGCCACAGCTCAACCAAACAGGGCCTAAGTATCTACTCCATCTACTGGTTTATGGAAGTAACAACTAACAACATAAGGTGCCTGTGTAGGGCTTTGCCCTGGAGCCTATTCTTCCGCCTATATATGCACATCCTGATAAAGTGGAGAGAGCTCTGAAAGCCAGGTTCCATGATGCAATGAACATGCTCGGACCACAGCGCAGAGAACTCGATTTGCTTATTGGAATACTTCCTGATAATAATGGTTCTCTTTATGGTACATGAACTTAAAACCCTGTGTAGTTCTTATATTTATTCCAGCTGCCGTGCTAATGATTTGTGTTGATTGCTCTGTGTTGGTCTCAGGTGATTTGAAGCGTATCTGTGAAATTGACCTTGGATTAGTTTCACAGTGCTGCTGTGCAAAGCAAGTTTTTAAGATGAACAAACAGATACTGGCAAATCTTGCTCTGAAGATAAATGTCAAGGTTGGTTTTCTATCAACTATGCTTTTGTTTGTGTTGCATTTTTTTCAGTTGTCGAGTCCAAAAAGAAAATTTTATTTGTTTTCAAAGGTTGGAGGAAGGAACACAGTGCTGGCTGATGCAGTGTCAAGACGCATTCCTTTGGTGACTGACAGGCCTACCATCATATTTGGTGCGGATGTGACCCATCCTCATCCTGGTGAAGATAGCAGCCCTTCCATTGCTGCTGTAAGTTGAACTATTGGACTCATGTTTTGTGACTGTTCATTCACACATACACTGGCAATTTGTTTCATTGTTTGTATTACCCTGCAGGTTGTGGCTTCCCAAGATTGGCCTGAGGTGACAAAGTATGCTGGTTTAGTTTCTGCTCAATCTCATAGGCAAGAGTTAATAGAGGATCTGTATAAGGTCACACATGATCCTCAGAAAGGAACCATTTGTGGTGGCATGATCAGGTATGCCAGCAAGGCCCATCTCCTTTTGTCTTTTTTACCTAGAGCACAAGTAATACATGCTGAGCTCCACATTTGCAGGGAGCTTCTTATATCCTTCAAAAGATCAACTGGTCAAAAGCCTCAGAGGATACTATTCTACAGGTGTGTGTGCGTGATTTTTTACAAGACTTTGCATTTGAGCTGCTGCAACTGGTTAGTTACTCGAAGCCTTGGCCAATTAATGTGGTTACCTTTGACAGGGATGGTGTGAGTGAAGGGCAGTTCTACCAAGTTCTACTGCATGAATTGGATGCAATCCGAAAGGTAACTTTCTTCTTTCCTTTTCCTTTTGGAGACATAGGGTTATTGCAACTTGCAAGTTATAGTTGATGATGTTAATGTGTGCCTTAGGCGTGTGCATCGCTGGAAGCAAATTACCAACCGCAGGTGACTTTCATCGTGGTCCAGAAACGGCACCACACGAGGTTGTTTGCACACAACCACAATGATAAGAATTCAGTCGACACGAGTGGGAACATACTTCCTGGTGGGTATTAATTATTGTTTTCGAAATGGAATGATATACATACTGCTGCAGTCTTTTGGAAACTTAACTAGAGAACCCTTTGGGCATTGTTTTGGTTTGGGTGAAATTGCAGGTACTGTTGTGGACTCGAAGATCTGCCATCCTACAGAGTTCGACTTCTTCCTGTGCAGCCATGCTGGCATCAAGGGCACGAGCCGTCCTGCTCACTACCATGTCTTGTGGGATGAAAACAACTTCACAGCTGATGCATTGCAGACCCTTACCAACAACCTTTGCTACACGTAAACTTCTCTGCCTGGCCACTCTTATACTTCCTATACAGTTCATCTATCTCAACTGTCTCAGCTACTTAAAGAGGTGTGAGTTCCCTGAACTGTGTACTAATAACTTGTCAAATTGCTGGTGCAGTTACGCGAGGTGCACACGTTCTGTATCCATTGGTAAGTTGTCTCGATTTTTCTGAAAGGGAGTTGAATTTATCAGAGTTATGCATTACTGAATTGATGGGCGAGCAACAAATAAACCAAAATGCATATGCCTTGCAGCCCCACCAGCGTACTATGCTCATCTGGCTGCATTCCGCGCCCGGTTCTACATGGAGCCTGACAGCTCAGACAGCGGATCACTGGCGAGTGGCGCTCGTGGAGGAGCGCCGTCCAGCTCATCGACATCCCGCAGTACCCGTGCCACCGGCGGAGCCGTTAGGCCCCTTCCCGCGCTGAAGGACAGTGTCAAGAACGTCATGTTCTACTGCTGATGAACCGGAGCCTGTGTCTACAAGCAGTAGAGGCGATGCTTTGATTGCATGACTCCTAACAAGATAAGCAGGCAGCCTGCCTGAAATTTGATTTGCTTGGTGTTGTAGTTTGTTTGGTCAGTAATAATCTGCTTGCTATTAGCAAACCGTGTTCAAAGACGCTGTGTTTCAGCGCATTTGCTTAGTATTTGTTTGAAGAAGGCCGGCCAGAGCTTGTACTGGAGGGATCCCATATGTTATTTTGAGACTATTATCTTTCGGATCATATCATTTTCTTCTTGTGAGGTGCTATTCACATATTTCTGAACGTCCTTTTCGAACTGTGGCTTCTGGGTTGTAGTTGTCAGTGTTTGTGACTTGCATTTGGATTTTCAAAAAAATTCATGCTATCTGGGGTGCAGCACATTCTTTTGACACAGCATTCTCAATCCTTGTCATATATTATTATCAATTGTAACCATGTACACTTTCACTCTCTTTACAGCATCCATCTCTCCAATCAATAGTCAACAAATGAAAACTACACATGCATACACAACAATCACTTCACAATATACACTGATCTGGTCCGGTATCAGTGGAATGAGTATGTGCAGCCGCCAGGACCTTGGATTCAGGAGATCATGCATATTCATCATATCTCTGGCTCTATATATTATTCAGAAGTAGAAGACTTCTGCCCCATCAAGCTGGTCATGATCCTGACAACAAAACAAGGAGCAGGCATTGAAGAATCAGTAAGCAACGTACACTCATCAATTTATGGCTAGGTTTTGCAGTTAAATCTGCAGGGCAAGAAGCCTCACCTCTGAATCCTGGTCTGTGGCTTTCTGCAGCAACCAGATTTGGAATTGTTAAACAACAAATTGGTCAGTCAGTTGCTTCCCCGGTCTCTCTTCAGTAGAGTTCTTAAGAGTGGGCACACTTGCCTTTCTTTCGGCCTCGTTACTGTCATTGTGCTAGGCCCTGCGCTTGCTGGGGCTTGCGGAGGATGTTCGAATACCCTTGGGACAGTCTTTGCCTGCATGGATGACATATAACATCATTCATCAGACATCGTTTTACTGCAACCTTGATGATTGCAGCATTGTCGCTGTTCCATCAGATAACCAAATGAATTATCAGCTCACCAGATTCCTGAACTGAAGATTGTAGAACATCTGCAGGTAGCGCTGTTTGGCTACTCTCTCCTCCTTGTTCACAGTCTTCCAGAAGCCATACGTTGAACCCATGTTCAGGACTTTAGTTGCATAAATCTTCCATGTGTAGCTGCCGAGCAAACAACATATGTTTAGCTTTCTTTTCTCATCAGATGTGTACAAGAGGTAAGGTCAATCATGTTATGGTATGGCACCTACCATTCGTAGATGCGCTGGAGCCCAGCAGTGGACACCTTGTTCCAATAGCTTGGGTCTTCCTTGCACTTTTGGAAGAAATCGGCAATCTTGTTGCTTGCCTCCCTGCCATTCATTGGGTTTATGTGGAAACCAGAGACACCGTCCACAATGATCTCTGCTGGCCCTCCCTGATTTGTCGCAAAGGTTGTCAATCCACAGTTCATCGCTTCAATGACCGTCAACCCGAATGCTTCATAAAGTGCAGGCTGAAACCACAGCAGGCATTATATTATTATACAGTTATAGTTGAGTTCCATTCTCTGCAAAAATTTTCTCATGATCAAACAGCATAGAAGCCGTCCGTTGCATACCTGAACAAATGCACCCTTTGTATCTGCAATGCAACGGTACAGCTCACCGTTGCGGACACGGTCAGTCTGTGCCTTGATCCAGCGAATCTGTCCTTTCAGCTGATACTTGTCGATCAGGCTATGCATCTTGTTGATTTCTTCAATCTCTTCCCGGTCCTTGGACTGCGATGCTTCCAGCAGGCCCGCAACGACAACAAGGTTTACCAGGTCCCTCAGTCTCTTGTTCTGGCCATACCACTCCACTAGTCCAGTGATATTCTTCACCTTGTCCAGCCTTGCCATCGAGAAGATGATTGGCTTGTTTCTGTCTGCCAGATATCCTCTGATTTGATGGCATCAAAGCAGTTAGCAAACTTGTCCTATGAATAAGAGTCTGTGTGTGTCTTTCATCAGTTCATGAGAGGAAAACTTACATGTGTTCAGTGGTGTCCTGCTTGCTGTAGAGCAACTCCTCAATCTGTGGGTGCAAATCTGTCAGCCGCTTCTGCTTCTGTGTGAAGGGGAAGTAGATGGACTGGTCTGCACCGGGTGCAGCAATGTTGAACTTTGGATCAAAGACATTGATGCCTGTGGCGTAGCGACAGAGCCCGGGCATTGTGAATGCGTAGTGGTGCTCATATTGGCCAGGCTTCTCTTTGCTGCATCACATGTTCATGTTTCAGGCCTTCCAGGACTCGAAGTAGTTGTTAGTGTACTGAAGTTACAGTTAGATACATTCTACGAACCTTCCAGCAATTTCTTGGTATGTGCTAGTGATGATAAAGTCACTAGTATTCATGGCAATCATATCTGCAGTGAATTGGCAGGAGAAATGGTACTTCTGGTCCAGATCTCTCCACTTGACATCTGAATCTTCATACTTTGTCTTCTCTAGAGCGTGTGCGATTGTCCCCTGTCAATAAGATCATTTTCTGTGTCATACCAAATTTTTGTTGGTAGCAAAAAAGGTAATCTTTCAAGACTACTTGATGACCCCATTATTTCACCTGAGTGACCCCTAGCTTGCTTGACATGAGAGACGCCACTAAGTTGCCATCGGTATAGTTGCCGATGATCAGGTCTGGCTTGCCCTCCAAAATGTCAAGAATTTTGGCACACGAATCCTGAAATTACCATGATGACATGGTGAGCAGAGCAAGCCACCTACTCAAATATTACATCCTACATATATAGGAGTAAGAGGTGATAGTTGGCAATTCAGTAGGGGTAGCTGACCCCTCCTGTTCCCTCAAAAAAAAGTGATAGTTGGCAAACCTGGGCATATCTCTCTAGGTAAGGGTAGATGTCAAACCGGGACACCCACTGGCGCAACTCCTTGCCGTCTTCAGTCTTGAATGGCACACGAAGTATGTGGGAATGTTTTGTATTTTCAACTGGCTCGAGCTCCACATTGCATTTTGTGCCCTTGGCATCTGGTATCAGCCTAGTCAGCTACATGAACAAAATTAACAGCCATTAGGGCATTTGATATACATATATAAAGTGAGCACTGAGCAGATATGAATCACGAATGGCCAAGATCATGACATAGTTAACTTTACCACAAGAATCTTTGGTGTCACGTTCAGACCCTGCAGCTTGATTCTTTGCAGCAACTCCTCTTCAAGGGCCCTGACTTGGTCCAGGATGTAGACCACCTGGCCACCGGTGTCTGGCAAGCCAAGAACCTTCTCTTGGCCAAAGTAGCCGTGGATGGAGAAGATGACTATGTTGAATATGGATGGAACTCTGCTGAAGAACTTCTCCATGTTGATAGGGTCCGGCGCTTGTAGCACTTCAGAGAGGCAATTCAGCGTCTCTTTGCACCTTTCAGCATTGTCACCCCACCCTTTCTCCAATCCCCACTCTTGAAATCTGAAAACAGTGTTGTGTTCAGAAACCTTAGGTATAATGCATATCTGGTATCTGCATAAACAGATTTTATCTCCTTGATATAGTAAGTGTATCACCTCTGTTCAAACTTCAGGAATGGCGTGTATCTTGGCAACCCACTAACAAATACCTCTGCAAGTAGCAGCACTGTCTGAAGCTTGTTCACTGTATCGATGGTGTCGTTAACCATCAGCTTCTGCATGTTCATCAGATGATCAGGGTATAGTTAGGTTCGCTCGGTTGGTTATTTTTAAACTTCTGTCAATATATGCAACATGGATAGGTGATCAGATTGTCATTGCCTTACCTCGCCACGGTAGTTTAGCGAAAGCAAATAGTCCAGCAACGGTTTCATGCTGATTTCAGGCTTGTCGCCCAGCTTCGAAGACATGAATTTGGACACAAACTGGAGCCCATTTCCTATGGACGATGGCAGTGTCAGATGGGGTGTTGAGAGGTTAAGAGCACCGAAATCTACTTCCAGTGAGTTGTCATCCTTGGCCCTGAAAGTGAGATAAGACCACATAATTTTTTTTCAGTTGGCATCAACACATTTGTGATCAATGTATGTAAAGGCTCTGAGTATTATATCGGTGAAGAATGCAGACCAGTTCTCGTCATATAATGTCTCCTTGAACTTGAGGTACTCAGACGGTGTGACTCCTTCGACCGACAGATCATCAGAATGAACTTTGACATACTCCCAGACGCCAGGATTCATCCTGACAGCAAATGCAACATAAGGTGGTAGCACCACTGCTTCCTGCAGAGATAAGAGTTATGTGAGTTTTGTTAATACAGGTTTAATGTTTGCTGCAAAAGCTGTTAAGGTGAGATGAGATCACCTGCGTGGAACAAATAATGTAACCCAGGAAGCCTTCAACAAGCTTTTCCTTCTCGACTTTGTCATCCAGTGATTTCTCCAGCTCCTCTATGAGCTGCTGGTTCTTCAAGAGCCTCTTTCCCTTGGAAACATACCTGAAATATTATCACATCCGAAATTTTTGTTTTTAGAACTGCAAATGAGAACCCCTGAATTCATAGATGATGCCTTCTTCTAAGTTAGGTTTACCTCTGGAAGCATTTCTTCATCTGGTACCGGCTCTGCCTTAGTGCATCGGGCATGCTTTCCGTGATGCTGTCTGTCCTCTTGAAACTCAGCTTGGAGGCCATGGTGGCTTGGAAAGAAACAAGGTGAAGAAGAATGCTCTGTTTTCTGTATGGAGGAGGAAGAAGAAGAATGCTGTGAAGCTGTGACTGGCTGGGTGTCCATGGGCAACATTTTATAGAAGGAAGGGAGCATGATGAAACAAAACTTTGGCCTATTGGCAGAGTTTTCTTTGTGTGGACGCCAGCTGGAAAATGAAATGGGAGATGGCGCACAGGGAAGAAAGCACATTGATTTGCTTGGGAGAAGTTATGCTGAAGAAACATGCAAGGCAAGAAAGGCATGAATGAACACCAATGAACGGAGTATCCCTGCAAAGATTCCTTATTCCTTGGATGGATTTCTTACCATGACTTTTCCATTTGAATATATGATACTAAAAACGGAAAGGGACTTGTTTAAGATTACAAGAAATTAGAGTGCAGATTAACCTCCTTGGAACACTAACAGTCAAAGATGTCAGATTTGTATAACTTACTACATATGGCAACGTACTCATCCTGATCACAACACATGTGGTCTCATGGTTAATACTTTCTGCCTGCAGCTGCAGGGCAACGCTCTGATTTGATTCCAGATTTTCAGTAGCTGGATTCAAGATTTGGGTGGATTTCAATTGAACCTGACCTATAGGAGTGCATTTTGACGCACATTTGGCTAAAGTTCCAGTCGCAGCTGCCATGCTGTAACTTTAAGAATTTTAATCCAACTTTCTGCAGATTATGGGCACAATAATTTTGCTTCTGATTTTTTCACACTGTAGCTTACAGAGATATCAAGTACGAAGCGTGTTGTCTTGTATATTCTGCTAGCAGCATTTACATTGACTAGTTAACAGTAAAACATAAGTATCATTTTTGAGCCAGGAAAAAAGGCTGTGTATTTAACTGCCAATACTTAGCACTCCAAAGTCAAAATCCATCAAACCCAATGTTTACAATTTACAGACCATCATAACCAGGAAACAGAAAAGAATCATACATATTGAGTCCTGGTGAAGGATACCCATATTCAGAGGTAAAGAAAACGTGAGCATCTGCATTGATCCACCGGAGAACCAGTCAACCAGTGCATATATCGGTAGAGCGACAAAAAGAGAAACCACGCAAAACAGAGGAAAACTCCGGAATCAATCGTGAACAGAATACAAGCTCTCAATATAAACACAAACCCCCAGAACAAAGGACAACGACAACTGAAACGCGTGGCTGATCCAAAACAAACCAGTGTCTGCAGGATAAACGAACACAAGCACGTGTAAGCTGCTGTTATTACCATAAACACATAATGTGATCATTTATACAGGATGAGCAATATTGTGAAGGGTGTAAGGAACATACCACGCCAAGATTTTTCAGAATGGCTTCATTCTTCTGACTGTGCATTAGTTTCGTAAATGCGACGACTCTTGTTATACCGAAAATACCTCTTGCCATCACAGCTTATGATGCGCACCTCAGGGACCTGCTGCACTAGGGGCCAGTTCTTGCCACCGTCGAGGCAGCTCCTGAGTAATGACAGACCGCACTGCAACTCGAACCGTCTCAGGCCTTTGCACTTTTGAATCAGTAGCTCCAGCCACCGTGGGAAGGCAATGCTCCAGAAAATGATTAGCTCTTCGAAATAAAATGTCTCGGTGGACGGAGGAAACACAAGTCTGAGGCACTGCAGCGCGTCAAGACCTGCCACATGCTTCAGCTTTGAGCAGTCATCAATAATGATGGAACGAAGCATGGGCAGGTTGGAGATCCTCTGGAGCACCTTGTTATCTTTGAGATGGAGCTCATCAGATAGTTTTGGCAGGTCCTTGATTTCAGTTAGGCTATGTGCACCCTCCACATGAAGTTCACACAGCGCTACATGCTTCAGGCCTTCTGGTAGAGCTTTCAGTTTAGGGCACCACTGTATCTGCAGTGACTTCAAACAAGGTAACAGTACCTGGTTCTCCTCCACAGTTAAAGACCACTCTTCAAGTTTCTTCATGTTTCTGAGCTTTAAAACCTCAAGCTTGGGAAATGAAGTGGCTGGTGAAAGTACAGTGGTCCCAAGGAATTCTGAACCAATGGTGATGACTGAGTCCGCATTTGAGATTTGCAGGGACTGGAGTTGACTCAGGAGGCCAAGTGAAGGCAGTTTAGTGCATGCCATGCAGTTTTCAAGATCCAAAAACACAAGGCTGGGGAAGGAGGCTCCTAGCTTGGGACCTCTTACCCAATTCGGAAACTTTACACCTTTGTAGTTCTTGATTACCAGCTTCTCGATGCTATGGGGTGGGGTGAGCTCATTCCATATCTTTTCACTAGCTTTGGCTGATTCATCTCCCCTGCATTGGTCATTGCTTCCTTCCTGCTCTTCCTTCTCTTCTTTTTCTGTTCCATCTTTGTCCTCCAGACTCTCCTGGTTTTCTATTACTGGGGCTTGCTCAGAGAGGTACAGATCCTTTAGGAATGGCTTGTTTGCGAGTGCAGCAGCACCAGAAGTAGCCCTATCCAAACTCTCTACATGAAGGTGCCTTAGTTCTGACAAAGCTTTAAGGTCATCTAAGTCACAACCCTCAGGCGCATTGTTGTCATGACCGATGATTAGACCATCTAGATGATTGAGACGCTTCAACTCACCAACACCCTTTGGTACATAGCTTAGGGAAGTTCCCTTGAGACAAAGGCATCTAAGCTCTAGCAACGCCCTGATGGACCAAGGAAGTCTCTGTAAGTTTTGGCAACCTTGAAGGCCCAAGGTCTGCAAGTTTATGAGAAATCCAATGGAAGAAGGTATGTCTCTGACCTGAGTTCCATCAAGATTGAGGTACCTTAAATGCACCAAGTTGCCAATGGATTTCGGGAGGGCCTCCACTGCTGTATTGCTCAAATCTAATACACGCAAGCATGAAGCTGACTCGATGAGAAGATCAACTGCTCTGACAGTTGGGCTTTTGAAGAGCATCAGTGACCTTAAGCTCATCTGCTGCTTCAGTGAAATCGGACCGTCCAAGCTGTTTTCCATGTTACACAATGTGAGATGTCGGGGCTTTGACAATGAGGTGTTCAATTTCTGCTGACCATAGATTAAGATACTCTCATCTGCTATCAAAAGGCGGGCTAGTGAGCGGAGAAGATGGTGTGTTATCCAGCATCGCTCAACACTTTCAGGATCAGGCTGTAGTAGGTTTCTGCTTATCAATTCTACATAGTACTCTTCAGCTGATTCTTCGAGCAGTTTGTTGTCTCTGGCATTTACAATTCCTTCAGCAATCCAACGCCGCACAAGATCAAAGCGCTGAATGGGGTATTCTTCTGGATACAGAGAGCAATGGAGGAAACACTCCTTCAGCTGAGAAGGCAGGTCAACATAACTCACATACACAGCTTGTGGTACTTCTGGAAGGACCGGGCTCATGAACCAAGAATCATTATTCAGAACCATCTCCCATTCAGCCTTGATGTTGCCTCTTGACCTTAGAACACCTGCAATGACCATGATTGCTAGAGGATGGCCATCACATTTCTCTGCAATCTTAATCCCAACATCCTTTAATGTTGCAAGCTCTTCCAAATTGCATTCTGGATCAACTTGTTTGCACAATAATGCCCAGGCATTCTCAGGGTCCATTTTGTCAACACGGTGGATAGTTGCCTTCATGCTTGCCGCCACTTCCTCATTCCGAGTTGTGATCAGTATTCTTCCTCTCGCGACACCATCTCCCAACGGATCTTTGAGCAGATTGTCCCATATGCTCGGGCTGTCCAAGTCATCCAGGACAAGGAGGAACCTTTTTGAAAGGGCAGAACCGAGGAGGATGAGGAGTTCCTCCTTGTTTTCTGTATCCCCAACATTGGCACCAGCACCCCTGATGATCATTTTGAGGAAATCTAGCTCCGATAAATCCTTGGACATGTCGACCCACACACAAATGGGGAAATTTTCAGTCATCCTGTCATCATTGTAGATCTCCCTAGCAAGCGTAGTCTTGCCAATCCCCACCGCACCAATGATGGCGAAGACATCCACCTTCTTCTTGCCCTCTCTAAGCATCCTTGGCACAAGGCCACCCACAGCCTTCTGGACCTGCGACCCAACTGCTTGGGGCTTCATCACGTCTGAACAATTCTTACAGACGTCATGGCTGAACCAGTCCCTTTTTGCATCATCAGAGTGAGCTGATCCAGCAGGAAGTCTAGGCATTTCCTCCTCTACTTCCCTGAGCCTGAGATCAATGTCCCTAATGGTGAAGCCGATCTCATGGCGGAACTTCCGGGGCCCTGAAGGCTTGAAGCAGGAGAAGCATCGGACCTTGGGCGTGGGCGGGCGGTCATCAAAGAGGATCTTTGCGCCCTCGATCATGCAGACATCGATGACGTCGTCGATCTCGTACATGGCGTCTTTCACCTGCACCACCCAGGCATCAGCTTTGGCACTAAAGACCCTCCGCCGCTCCTCATGGGAGATGATGGCGTCGATGCGCGACAGCGTGGCCAGTAGGCCCCTGACGTCGTCCCCGGTGCCGAGGGCGGCGCAGGCCTCCTGGCCGGCGAAGTCTTCCAGTGACGCCGTGCATCGCTTGACGAAGGAGTCGAGCACCGCCGCCATGGGGGTCCCTCTGCTTGCCCCGAGGTATCAGGCCCCTGAAAAAGGTTGGAAATTTCATCAGCACATGGGCAGAAAGCTTGCAGATTTGAACGGAATCCATCATTTCAAGCAGACATTAGCAGAATCTGACGATCAAATCACTGATTCCTTTGCAGTATCGGTTTCCAAATAAGCAAGAGCTCAGAGGCTCTGCACGGATCAGCCAACATGAAAAGGTCGCTGGTTGGTTTCATTCATGGAATTTACTACTAGTAGTAGTAATTAATCAATTATTGATTGGGGACGCTGATTTCGCAGAAAGAAATCGTTTTTTCCTCTTTGGAAGTTGACACCGTCAGGTACATACAGGAAATTAATGCAAGAATGCCTCATAAAAGAAATCCTTGGATCATTCATGGAAGCATAGCAGAATTATTGATCAAGTCCTAGTCCTATAGAAAAAAAAAAGAGGCGAGAAAAGATGACAATCATCTATCCCAATCTAATCAGATCAACGGGGAGGGGGGAGAAGGGGCTTGCTTGAACAACAATCGACACGGAGTCGACATAGGAAAAGATGTAGAAACAGAAGAGAAAATCTGACAGAAAACAAAATTGGGAAAAGGGCGATGGATTGGCGTACCTGTACTGTAGGTGGGAACGAAGGTTGGGGCGGGCAAGCAGGAAGGAGGAAGAGGAAGAGAAAGGCGATTGAGCCTAAACGTGGTGGCGACAGCGAATGCCACCGCCTCGCCGGCCACCACCTTCCTCCCCTCCCCTCTCTCCCTTGTTGCTGTTGCTGTCAAAAGGGGACCTCGACCTTCCTTCCAAATGCAACAAGGAAAGGAAGGAATGAAGAAGCTACAAAAGCCTAGCTTTTGGATCTGTCGCTGTCACGAACGGCTCAGCTTCGATGTGATGAGATCAATGATCCCTGATGCCGGCGGCCTGGTATGGTAGGTGCGTTGTTTTTGCGAGGAGCAGTGGAGAAACGGCGGGGATTGCCTTCCACAAGGGCACGTCACGTGGCGAATCGCCGAGCCAGAGCCAACTCAGCTCAATCGGCCGACGCCATGGAAGGCAAGCTTCATACGGGAAGTGAGTGCTTTGTTGGTGGCGGTACCGATTTGTAAATAAGAAAATTATTATAAGATTTGTGTATAAATAAAAATACATACATAAATAAATGGGCACTGTAGATAGATATGAATTGATGTATACTAGTAACATTTAAATGACCATACTGGTGAAGTGGTTTTGTCTTTGGAGTAAAAACTTGCTCTTAGCTTATCATGCTTGTACCAACAATAATTACAACCTTCTTCACATTCAGGAATCAGGACCCTAGTGAATTGTTTGTTTGTTTCTGATAAGTGACATCGATCACCAGCAGGGATGTTAATGTTATTTTATCACTTGGACTGCAGACTGTATGTTAAACAACTTTTGAGGTGGCATGACAACTGGCTAAATTTTAGAAAGAGATAGTAATATATAGGAATTAAAAGAAAAAGAAATGAACAATATCTTAAAAAAAAGACAAGTTTTGGTGTGCTATATGCTGCGTGATCAGGACAAAGCGTGTGTACACTGTACAGCTAACATGAGGAAGGCAGAGGACAGCAGCAGAACCATGTACGGTGGGGGTAGGGGGTGGGGCCATGTCCACCAAAAATTGATGGGGAATGAATATAACAGGTCAAGGAATTTTGGTACACAAGGTAATGAATAGAGTCATTTGGTAAATAGATACTGATAAAGTAATAAATAGGGGTCAAGGTATTTGGGTAAAACAAAACTATCATACAAAATCAACGAATATTTACATCCATCCATAGCTTGATGTGTGTACAGTACATAATGATATTCAACTGCAAACAAGAATCTGCCCATCCATACAAAATCAATGCAAAATCAGGCAACAGCAGCCCAGAGAAAAAGAAAGTATGCATTATTAGGTATTTAGGTGGGTTGTTTAAGAGATGGAATGATGCGTAGTGGCAAGCCTCAACGCAACAGTTCAAAGTCAAGAATCTCTGCCGGCCTTTGTTTCTCTTGTCAGTGACTCAGTGCCCCATCAATCAATCAAGATTAAACGAGCTAACAATCTTTTTTATATTACCGAAATACCAGTACATTACAAGTAGAAGCTGCCAGGGAGATTGTTATATATTTATTTATTAATCCAAAGACAACCAGCCTGTTCGTTTTCGGCTGAAACGATCGTGGATTATAAGCCAGAAGTACTGCTGGCTGGTTTGGTATGAGAGAAAAATACTGTTTTAACTTATAATCCACGATCGTATATGATCGTATAAGCCCAGCCGAACAGGCTGAACATCTCCATCAACAATCCGGTCTAAGACGAGTTCCACACGCCACGAGCACGAGACTCTCTAAATAATGGCCCTGTTCAGCTTACCCTATATTCGCCTTGTTCGGCTTATTTTTTCAGCCATAACAGTATTTTTCTCTCACAACAATACAACAATTCAGCCGGAACAGTGTTTTTCAGCCAGTTTTCCAAGATTCAGACTAGCGAACGGGGCCTTTGTATCTTTTTCGTCCAATTTGTTTTCTCTTTAGCAAGCAATTCTAGTCTAGAGAGAGAAGCTTTTTTTTTCTTTTAGCAAGCAATCTAATCTAGAGAGAGAAGCTTGTGTCAACAGTATCTGCATACTAGTAGTACTCTACAGAAGTTTACAGTAATAGGATTATAAAAGGTGGCAAACCAAACAGTCCACTGTTCAGCTCTTATACAAGGCAAATTTTAATTTGTTCTGCCAAAAACTAGCAAATCATTTCGGTAAACAAAGGAGCTTTGTGGCAAGTACAAAAAAAATCTGTATAATAGTTTATGTTCTATACAAGTGAAAAGTAAACAAAGGAGCTTTGTGGCAGGCACTGAAACTGAAAGAGGCCGGCCTGCAGAATGAGGTATGACACATTCACACTCAACTGGAAACCTCAAAGGAGGATGCAGAACAGATCGACCATCTTCAAAAGGATTTGATGAAACCAATCCTGACCTTGCGCACAAAAACCATCAGAAATTAAGATGAATGCAACCACAAGACCCAAATACTACGTAAAACTCCTCTGAAGAAATGGAGAATGATGGCAAAGCATGGCCTTGGAGCTCAAGTAAAGGTAAAAACTACAAAGGTGGCCGCATACTCTCTATTGACTCATCTCAAGGATACACTTTCCACACAGCTTTAACGGTGCACTAACTATATCAAACATAAGACTATAACACTAATACATCAGATTTATATACACATTGATCAAGTCAGTCACATCCCTAGCCTCTTGGTACCGCATTCTGAGCACAACTTCGATGTCGCCCTTAAATATGGGGAGCCACACTCATTGCAGAACTTTCGCCGGGCTGGTTGGCTGAAATCGAAAAGATACCATCAAGGCAATGAACAAAATAAGGTAAGCATTAGCTATTGCCAATCATGCTACACACACAAAAAAAGGAATTGATAAATGAGACACCATGCAGCTGTTGCCAATGCTAATGAAAGAGGTGTCGGGAACCTGATACCGGGGTACCCAACAAGGTGGAACTAGCAAACACTGGACGTCGGCAATCCTGGTCATGCAGGGACACCACTGTGCCTCTTGCTCGGACGGCAGAAGATCGGTTCCGCCTCGCCCGACGGCTAAGGGCTAGGCTCCGTCTCGCCCGACCCTCAGGGGCGGGCTCCGCCTCGTCCGACGGCTGAGGGCTAGCTCCTCTTCGACCAAACGCCCGAGGGAGGGCTCCGCCTCGCCCGATGTCCGAGGCCTAAACTCCATCTCGCCCCACCTCCGAGGGCTAGGCTTCGTCTCACCGGTCGGCCGGGGGCGGGCTCCACCACGACCGACGAGGCACGTCACGACCCTCCGTAATAATGAACACAGGGTACGACATGACATACGGGTCAAACGCAATACCAAGGACCATGCCCTGCGCCGCTGCGGATGGGGCTGTCAGGGCACGATGGGACAGGCGCTTTAGGCCCTTCCAGGCGCGGCAGGGCCTGAACAGTGTTGTAGGCGCGTGTTCTTCGCCCTACAGTATTGTAGGCGCCGCCTTCAGCCCTCGGGTGCGGAACCCGACAATGACACACGACAACCGCTACGCTCCAAAGGGGAACTCCTGCCCTCTACAGTGGGAACGGGCGGTCACCACGCGGGCCGCTTCCCACAAGGTCGCAGATCGACACCCCAGACCGACATGCCGCCCGCAGGGGCGGGACGGGACGTGACCACTTGCAGAGCATGGCATCATCAACGCACGCATGCTCGGCGAACGTGCCCCCTCTGACACCGTCCGGCTGTGTCACGGGGGCTGGCCTAGAAGAAGAAGAAGACCCGACGCTTTGGAGGGCCTTCTTGGTCTCTGGTTTTTTCTCCTTCCTCCGACATGTAGGCCCCGCTCCCCTTGGTCTATAAAAGGAGGGGCTAGGCACCCCGCTAAGAGAGGAGCTAGCAGAAAGCTTGATCGATACAATTCAACAGCATACCCACATACACACGGCCAAGCAGACACCAAGCTCTTAGCGTCCTTTCGACCCTTTCCATCAGAGACCTGGTACCAGTCCCTCTCTCGACCATTTGTACCCCCTACTACAAACCATTTTCGGTGCTAATAACACGAGCAGCAGCAGACTGGACGTAGGGACATTCGGCCCGAACCAGTATAAACCTTGTGTCCTTTAGCACACCATCCATGCCTAACGCGCATCAATTATAAATTTATTAGCCGGTGCTTGTTCGAAACACCGATAGTTGGCGCGCCAGGTAGGGGCCTTTGCGCGTTCCAAAACCAGACCACGGATGGCTAACCACAACGTTAGCTGGGTCCCAGGCGCACACGTGCGCTTTGGAAGCCTAGATTTAGTCATTACGGTGGGGGGAGAATTGGTACGGGCGCACACCGCCATCCAATCTCTCCCCTCCATCGTCCTCGACCACAAGAGGCTTGGGCGCTAGCTCGGCGTCTCCCTTGGACCCCAGCAGTCCGGGAA